CACACACACACACACACCCAGCAACAGCGCTAAACACACACACACACGCACACACAGGGTCGCCCGGGGCCCAGCCCAACCCCCCCCGCACACACACACACACACACAGCAGAGAACACACGCGCACTCCGCGCCCCTCTCTTTTGAAGTGAAATAACACATCCATTTGACAATGACACGGTAGTAATATGCGGGGCGCGCGGCCCCCCAGCAACAAGGAAGGAAGCGGGGACACACACACACTCGCGACCGACGAGAGCGCGAGCCGCCACAGCAGTGACGACGACGACTGGGGAGAGGGCCATGCACCGGGCCGGACACCTGGAAACGATCGCCCCCGGCCCCATGCGCGCGACGCCGCCGCCAACATGGCACCCCCATCAGCGACAGCGGACGCCCGCCGCGGACGCGGCACCCGCACACCATAGTGGTGGCATGCGGGAGCACGCGGCCGTCGAGGACGACCACCACGCCGAGAGGAGCAGGAGGCGGACGCGCGCAAGGGGAGAGGAGGAGAAGGCAGGCGACGCCGCGGGCCGGCACACCAACACCAACACCAACACCGCCACCGCCACCGGAGCGGCGGCGCACCCGTCAGCCGACAACAACCGACGACGCTTAGTCCTTGTGGGCGGTACCACGGACACGACCGGTGCGGCGGGCGGCGATGAGACCGACCTTGCGACCCGGGGGAGCGTCACGGCGGATGGTGGTGGCCTTACCGACGTGCTGGTGGTTACCACCACCATGGGGGTGATCAACCGGGTTCATGGCAATACCACGGACATGAGGCCAGCAGTTGCGCTTGACGCGGAACTTGTGGTAGGCACGACCGGCCTTCAGGAGGGGCTTGTCAGTGCGGCCACCACCGGCGACGATACCAATGGTAGCGCGGCAGTCGGAGGGGATGAGCTTCTTGGAGCCGGAGGGCAGGCGGATGCGGGTGCGGTTGGTGTCCGGGTTCTGGGACAGAATGGTGGCGTAGTTACCGGAGGTACGGGCGAGGCTACCGCGGTCGCCGACCTTCTCCTCGATGTTGCAGACGACGGAACCCTCGGGGAGGTTGCCGATGGGGACGACGTTGCCGACGGCCATCTGGGCCTTCTTACCGCAGTAGATGAACTGACCGGTGTGGATACCCTCGGCGGCGACGAAGGTGGAGACCTTCAGGCCGTGCTCGAGGGGGTTGCGGAAGGCAACGCGAGCGAGGGGAGCACCACGGCCGGGGTCGTGGATGATCTCCTTGACGAGACCGCGAATGTAACCGTTGCGCTCGGCGAAGTCGAGAGAGCGGATCTTGGCAGCACCCTTGCGGTGGGTAGTGACGGCCTGCGGTGGTGGTGGTGGTGGTGGTGGTGGTGTACGTCAGCGTCAGCGAGGGGGAGGAAGAGAGGAGACGAGGACGAGAGCGAGGAGGGATGTGTCAATGTGCAACGAAGAAGGAAGGGGAAGCGCGCGCGCGTGCGCTCCCCCGGCCAGAGCCAAGGAAGCGACAACAGGTGGAGCGAAAGAGAGAGAGAGAGAGAGAGAGAGAGAGAGAGAGGACGCACGCCGAAGACACTACCGGAGACACCCTTGCGCTGACCACGGATACGACGACCCATGTTTGTAAATCTGACGGAAGAGAGGAAAGGAGAGACAGGGAGAGGGGAGGGAGGTCAGCAACCAGCAGAGCGAGGACGGACAGACACACTCTTATATGAGGAGAGGCTGGAAGGACAGAGGATCACAGGTGCCGGCGGATGGGACCGAGCGCGGCGGCGACGCCGCCCACCCTCTCTGTCTGTCGGATTCGCCGCCGGCGAAGCTGCATCCGATATGTGCACGGGCACACACTCCCGGAGGCAGACGGCGGCTCGGACGGCGCCAGACAGGGGAGAGAGAGGGGGAGGGGGCGGCGTCACACGATCATGTCTGCCCCGCCGCCCTCCGCGCCCCAGATTGACCCGGCCCCGCCCCCTGTGGCGGGCAGCAGGAGCGCGCGAGGCACCCTCCATCGGGGAGGGATGGATGGCGCACGCGAACGCGCACGCGCACACACACACAGATGGAGAGGGGGCCGGGCTCGGGGCACGGGGGGGAGGGGAGAGAGAGAGAGAGAGAGGGGCCCATGCGGCGCGGAAACGGCCCTGCGAGCGAGTGGCGTGGCCAGCACGCAGCAAATCCGGTACGACAGCGATGGAGTCCCTCCTCTCCCCAAACCCGCCGCCTCACATGACGGAGGGAGGGAGAGGGAGACAAAGAGAGAGAGAGCGCGCGCGACGGGGATGGAAGGGTGACCGAGGAAAGCGGCGGGGGGAGAGGGGAGGGAGGGAGGGAGGGGGACAGGCATACCTGTTACCGTGAAAGCAAGAGAAACCAAAGCAAGAACGAAACAGAGAGGCCCACCCCTACGGAGGATTGCCGCCTCGGGGCCCCGCTAAAAAGCTGGGCGCACCGCAGCCCGGGGGAGCCGTGACAGCGCCGCCGCCCCCCCGGAGGGCGGGCCACCAGCGCGCGCGTTCACCAGCACCACCGACGACGGGGCCCAGCAGCCGCACAACGTGCGCCGCGTCCACGCACACACACACACACACCC